CTGGCCAGCAGTCTGCCCTCCCCACAAAGGTACAAGGATGAATGGGGAACTGGCTTTATATTTACATCTTCAAGTTTATCACCTAATTCAATACCCAGGCTGGGGTCAGAGGTGAGCAAAGTCCCACCAGTCTGCGCCGGGCGGGGTGGGAAGGTCTGCCCTCCGCTTTGAGTCCCCTCCCCTCCCCCCACTGCCTCAGAGAAATCACAGGAGAGGCCATCAGACTGTGACAATCACAAGAGGACAAAGGGGATGACATGATGGATGGTGGGGGAGGAGGTGTGGCTGCTTCGGGAGGGGGAAGGGCCTGTCTGAGGGGCTGAAACTGGAGGCCCCGTAGTCCATGCAAAGGCCCTGCAGCTGGAAAGGGCTTGAGTTAATATAAAACAGGAGAGGAAGTGGGGGGGCTGGAAACTTCTGAGAGGAGGAGTGAGAGGCCCAGGGTTGGTGGGGGGGTGCTGGGCTGCCACTGGGGGGCCTTCAGTAGGGTTTAAGCATGGTCTGGTGGATGTTTTAAAGAGATCACGTTGGCTCTGCACAGAATGTAGATCCTGGTGTTTAACCAGTGGAAACAGGACCATCGCTTGGGTGGTTTTTGAGGTTGTCCAAGTGAGAGGAGGGGCCGTGGACCAGGAAGAGAGATGGACCCTAGAGAGGCTGCTGATGGGAGAGGCCATGGGTGAAGGGCCAGGAAGGCACTGGGGTGACCACAGGTGCTGGTGCTGCCTGGAGGCATCCCAAATGGGTGAACAAAGCGTCAGGGCGCGAGAGCTGAGGCCAGCTCTCCGTGGGTCCACCCCACAGCAGGAAGCTGGGACACTGGGCAGGGGCTGATTCAGTGCTTGGCAGCCATAAACCCTTCTAAGCATCCCACCAAACGGCGGGAGAAAGTGTGGGGTGGTGGCTGTCGGGGTGACGGTCTGACCTCAGGGAGAGTGGCAGAGAAGCAGAGTGTAGACCGATGGGATGGGGTCCAAGCCTGCAGCACTTTTTCTCAGGCCCCCTCGGTCGGTGGGAAAGACAGCTGCACTTCAGGGGAGGTCTGACCTCGGTGCCCACCCGGAGGCCAGGCCAGGGCTCCAGCCAGGGCCTCTGGCTCCTTACACACCAGCAGCCTGATGCCAAGAGGACAAGCCATGGGCTGCGGTCAGTGAGAGCTAAGAGCTTACCAAGACGGTAAATAATTCATTACTTATGAGCCTCATTAGTTTACTCTGTTCTTACTGACACCTAAGTGCTTGTGCATAATTGATTAAAGGTAAAACCACCACCTTAATCTATAAAAGGGCTGACAAACTCTGTCCCAGCCAAAGGCAGCCCCCCTCCCCCTAAAGCCCAGAGCTAAGAATAGTCTTTCATTTTAATTGGCTAAAAAATATTTCTTGCTTTGTAAAAGTGATATGAAATTCACATATCACCCCTCAGTTAGGAAGAGACTTGTGCTCTGAGTCCCCTGCTCCATCCCCCACCCCCCGCCCCAGTTTGCATGTATTTGGACTCAGACTCTGGGAACCTTCCTGGGTTTGGAACCAAGAGGGAAATGCAGTTGGGACGGGGTGGGATGCTCAGGATGGGGTGAAAGGTCCCCTACACCAGCAGCCTTTCCCAAGACCCACCCCTGGGAAGGGGTCTTCCTGCCCCTCCCCCTTCAACTCCACTCCTACCCCCTCCCCCAGACAGTCCCCCCCAGGCTTCCCGCATCAGGAGGAGGGGGCTCCTTTCTCCCCGAGTGTCTCAGGAAGTGAGCCGGCAACCCCAGAGACCCCACCGCCGTCCGACCAAAGCCAAGTCCAGAGTTGGGTGGGAAGCCCCGGGCCAGCCGCGGGCCAGCTGGCGCCCAGGCGCCTCCCCGCCTCCCTCCCTCCGCGGGCTCCAGGCGCCCGGGGGCGCGGCTTTGTCTCCCAGCAGCCGGGGCCGATTGTCTGGCCTCCCGCACCGGAGCGCGTGGGTGTTAGGGGGTCTCTGCCCCCCTAGGACGGGGAGGCGCCCGCTCGGCCACTAGTGAGCTCGCTTCCCCCGGGGTCTTCGAACCCCGGAACCGCGGAGGGGGGTTCGGGCTGAGTCGCTTTGTCTCGGAACAAGGGCTCGGGGCGCGGCGCGGCCTGGGGGCTCCTGCGCGGGGGCAGCATCTCGGCG